CACTTAACCCCAACTGCCTTCACCAAAACAGAAAACAAACAAAAAAAACAATGAAATCACAGGTCTGATCCTATCCCCTAAAAATACCTTTTAGCCTTAAATGTTTTCAATGAACGAACACCTACTTTCTCTCCCTCCCCCCCCCCCCAAAGGGAAAAAACCCCCACAAATCCTTGTACATATGCATAGTCAAGCAAAACAAATTTTTACCCCAATTAAAATTTACAAAGCTTTTATACCTCTTCTTTCCTTTAATCCTCAAAACAACCCAGTGAGGGAAGTGGAGCAGAGAATACACTCACAGTTGGGAGAAATTGAGATACAGAAAGGTAAGGCATCCAAGGTGTCAGGTTTCTGACTCCCATGTGCCGTGTACTTTCCACTACTCTACCTCAGGTCAAATACCAAGAATGACATGACACTGATGGGGGCTCAATCCTAGGCGGCAGAGAGTAATTGTTGGTGAGGTGGGGGTGGGGGGGGTGTAGAACTGAGGATGGGGTCAGTGCAATACACATTAATGTTAGTCTTCTGGCCACATTGCTTTAGCAACTAGGCTGGGAGAGTTAGGCTTCAGCTCCAGAGGCAACACAAAATCGTCTTTACACAATAACTCATTGACAGCATCACATCCCCTCCCCATCTCCTCCTCCCACCACTTCCTTTTAAAATTCATCTGTATTTCAAATCCTATCAAAGGCCCATTCAGCTGGTCTTTCTCTGCTCAGCTCTCACACAAAGGCCTGACTAAACTCATTAGGGAAATGGCATCTCTAGTTCACTCTCTTGCTCCCAGAGGAATGCAAGCGATTAAATCAGGACTTGTTTCCTTAGAACTAATCGGAAAAAGGCTCCTCCTCTCCCCCTCCCCCCTGAAAAAAAGGGGGGGAATCACGCTGGTACAAGCTGGAATCTGCAAGTAACTCACAGGCTGTCCTGGTACCAGGCTTTTGGGACAGAGGAACAGCTTGGCAACTTGCTAAATCCCTTCACACTCACGCTTCTCCATTTACTAATATGTCAATAGGAGTCAGGGAGCTGTGAAGTTTGCTGCTTTAGCTGGCAGCCCAGCCTGGCTTTATCCCTCTCAGCCTCCCTCTCCTCTGCTGGCATCCACAGGCCCTTCCTGTCCCAGCCCCCTCAACTCGGCTTCGCTTCATCAGACTCACTGTGTAGCTGGTCAGTCAACAACAACTATTACCACCACTGCCACAAATAACTGACTTTTTTTTTTGCTTTTTGGTGAAGCAATCAGGGTTAAGTGACTTGCCCAGAGTCACACAGCTAGTAAGTGTTATGTGTCTGAGGCCAGATTTGAACTCAGGCCTTCCTGACTCCAAGGCCAGAGCTCTATCCACTGAGCCACCTAGCTGCCCCAATAACTGTCATTTTTATTGTGCTTTAAGGCTTACAAAGTCCATTACACCATCTCATTTGGTCACTGGAGCAACCCTGGGAGGGAAATGCTATAATTACACTCTTATTCTCAGTTTACAGATCATAATATTTTTCTGTACGAGGGAACTGTTTTGGGAGGAAGGAAATGCACATTTATTAAGCCCCTTACCACGTGTCAGGCACAATATTAAGAGTTTTGTAAGTATCCTATTTGATCTTCCCAACAGCCCTGGGTGGTAGGTGCCCTTATGATCTCTACTTTACAGCTGAGGACACTGAGGAGACTCATCATCCTATAAGATGAAATCAGCTGTGAAACTCATACCTCCCATAAATGATTTTAATTACACTCCTATTTTATTCCAATCAACATTAATTAGTTTAGTGTGATTCCATAGGGGTAGTGATTATTAGTAATTATTAGCATTATATTTGTCTATCAATATACATTTAGTTAATCAACTAATATTAGTATAGGAAAGTCCAAATTAACCTGAAGTTTACATTTGGGGATAATTAAATAAGAGAGGCTCTTACTTATAATAGGTTCCAAACTTTAAACTACAAGATTAGAAATTCACTTGCGTGTTATGAAGCTCGCTTGCTTAATCATAGGAAGCTAACTAGAGGACCTCCACTCTTTCTTCCTGCTGAGTAGGGGACCAAATCCAGCATGGCAGAGGTGACTCAATGACATGGAAAGTCCCCCAGTTATTTTTGTTGCCCCTCCATCCCTAGACACCCCTCTACTGCCCAACATGGGGAGATGGCCAGGAGCACTTGGCCAACAGCTGACTCTGCCGGCCTGTGGCCTGCCTATCTACTGGCCCATCAACCCATGAGGATGTTCTAACACCTGTTGACCAGCCCCAGTCCATGGGCCTGCTTGTCAGCTCAGCAGGACCTCCTGGAAGGTCAAGATATAGGTTTGTCAACCAATGGGATTCTTTATTTTATGTAGACCCTCCTGGAGGGTCGAGGTCAAGATCTATCAGCCAATGAGACTTTATTTTTTGTGTGCTTCATCTGTATGGTCTAGATATCAAGCACTATAAAAGAGAGGCCCTGGAGGAAGGGGGCATCTCTGATCATGAAAAAGATGAGGTCCCATACATTAAAGGGGGTCAGGTCGCTTTAATAAACGGTTATTAGCTTAGAGCTCTGCCTCAGTTTCTTTTATTGCATACTAGACATTCTTTGGACCCTACACTCCTCTGTACACCATGCCCCCGCACCCCAAAGAGAGGGTGAAGGGTAGAGACTGGATAGCTCCTACCAGATCCTCCACCATTTAAGGAGCTTCCCGCCTCCTCAGCTTCTTTTCATGTGTAGTCTTCTTCCATTAGATTATGAGCTCCTTAGAGGCAGGGATTGTCTGCTGCCTTTTTATCCCTGGCACTTAGCACAGTGTATGTAGCACAGTACATAGCAGATGCCTAATTAATGTCTATTGACTTGGACTCTGAAGTACAGGGAGGTTAAGTGACTTACTCAGGATCACACAGCTAGTAACTGAACTCAGGTCTTCCTGAATCCAGGCTCAGAGCTCTATCCACTGAACCACCTCGCTGCCTACCACTACCGCTGCCGCTGCCACTACCACTACAGGGAAAAAATCGTTGCTGCAAGTACAACCCTAAGAGATGAGGACACTGCTGCTGAAAGAGGTTAAGGATTTGCCCAGAATCTGTAAATGGCAGAGACGGAATTTAAGCCCAGGTTAGAGTAAATACGATCGTTCCTGTTTTACAAAAGAGAAAACTGAGGCTCAGAGATGGTGAGTGATTTGCCTAAGGCCACACAGCTAGTAAATGCCAGCACTTCGACTCCAACTTAAGTTTTATGACTTCAGAACCAGTTTCCGATAAGCCACCACAGAGGTGTGTCCGGGAGACCGGTTGTGTCATTTCAGTTGTATTTGACTCTCCGTGACCCTGTTTGGGATTTTCTTGACAAAGATATTGGAATGGCTTGTCATTTCCTTCTCCAGCTCATTTGACAGAAAGGAAACTGAGGCAAACAGGGTTAAGAGACTTGCCCAGGGTCACGAAGCTATTAAGTGTGGGAGGCCAGATTTGAACTCAGGTCTTCCTCATTCGAGGCCCCGAGCTCTATCCATTTCACCACCTAGCTGACCAGGGGAATATCTAACAGCAAATCAGTCAATAAGCATTTGTTAAGGGCTTAGTTTGTACAAGGCACGGTGCTAAACACTAAAGGGATGCATAGAAAGGAAAAAATAGTCTGTGCCTCCAAGAAGCTCCCTTTGTAAAGGTACTCAGGAAAAGCTCCGCCCCACCCCACCTCAGCTCCACTCAGTCCCCAGGAGATCAAATGGGGTAATAGCACCTATCATTTCCATAGCTCTTTATGGTTTGTAAAGAGCTTTACAAAAATAGTATCTCATTTGATGCAACAACCCTGGGAGGTAAGGGCTATTATTTACCTCCATTTCCTCATCTGAGGCTAAGGAAGATTTTAATTTGCCCAGGGCCATGTAACTAGTAAGTGTCTGAATCTGCATTTGAACTCGGGTCTTCCTGTCTGCAGGCTCAGCGCTGCTCTGTGCATTACGGTGCTACCAAGTGAAAATGGAAGATAGTTTCAACTTTCTAACTCCTTATACCCCTCCTTTGGCTAGGGCCAAATGTCACTCCCTTCCTCTTTGCTTTGTCTTGCCACTGAACTCAGATGACTCAGGAAGAGAGAGTGAGACTGACAGCTGTGCGAAGCTCTGCCTCACTTCCGTTCAATTCACGCTAAGTCAAGATATCACCTTCGAGATGTCATCGCTCCTTTTGGAAAATGAAGGACAAACAACATCACCTCTTGAAACAGGGAACATCTTTGTAAGATCATCTAGTCCAACCTTCTCATTTTACACATGAAGAAACTGAGGCTCAGAGAAGCAAAGGTCACACAAGTGGCAGAGAGCTGGGATTTGAACCCAGTGCCTGGGATTTTTCACTTCGTCCAGTGTTCTTCCCATTGGCTCACCTACACACACAGCTGGGGGTCATTCTACTTGCCTAGCCAATAGGGGATCAATTAAGTCTCAAGGGTCAAGTTGCCCCTGTTATCACAGCTGTCAGCTTCCCTCTCTCCCCAGCAAAAGTCACCAAAATTTAACCAGCAATCACCAGGACCTAACATGGTAGTGTAGGATATGCACAGAATGAAGAAACACGGGTTTGAGTCCCAGATCTGATGATAATTTTCTGTGTGAACCTAGGCAAGTCATTTAACTTCTTTAGGCCTCAGTTTCCTTATTTGTCAAATGAGAGATTTGAGTCGCTGACCTCTCAAGTTCCATCCAGCTCCAATATTCTGGGATTCCATATCAGAGACAGGAAACACTGACACCACAGAGGTCCAACCAGAACCCCAGAACCAGGGAGTCTGGACTTCAACCATAATTCTTTTCCCTTTTAGGCCATTTCTAGGGAATAACTGGAGAAGTCAGATTCACTCATACATTGGGCCTGCTAAGCTCTGTAGGGGTGAGAGGAAATGACAAGGAGATAGAGAGACACACGTAAGCACAGGTGTATATCCACACCCATAACACACACACACACACACACTGCCCTCCGGTGACTCACCACTGCAGCTGCTGTGTCAGCGGCCAGGGAAGCCCAGCTGAGGAGGAGAGTAAGCACGCCACAGCAAAGCATCCTGGAGAGAAATGGACATAGGTAGTACAGGCTTCCTCCTACCCTATGGGAGCCTAGTCATAGACTTAAGATCTACAGGTGAGGTGCAGCTAGGTGGCGCAGTGGACAGAGCTCTGGCCTTGGAGTCAGGAGGACCTGAGTTTAAATCCCGCCTCAGACACTTGATACACTTAACCCCATTGCCTCACCAAAAAAAAAAAAAAAAAAAAAAAATCTACAGGTGAATGGGACTTTAGAAGCCATCGAGCTCAACCCCCCTCATTTTTCAGATGAAGAGATTGAGGCCCAGAGAAGTTAAATGACTTGCCCAAGGTCACACAGTAAGCTGAGATGGGAAGACAGGTCTCATGACTTCAAGCTTGGCACTGAACTAATGCATACTGGTAAGGGAAGCCTCCTCCCATGTGGTGCTTGTGGCTTCTTAGAATTCAGCAATTAGGTCCACCTATTAATTACAGTGACCATGACATGGGGAAAATCTATAGTGGGCTGGGGAGGCTACAAGGGACCTATGATCCTCAAGCAGTACAAATAGAAAAAAATAATTATGATTTGCTCCTGGTACAAAATAGTGCCAGAAATTGCTGCGCAACCAGGACCTAACATCTTGATGTACTTGGGAGAGAAAAGGGCCTAGCAAGTCCCAACTTCTCTGAGACTACATATTAGTCTCAGACTGCTAAATTAGATGCTAATGTGCTCCCTCTCCTAGGGCAAAGGGGCCTCAGAAAGACTGGGGGTGTTTTCAGTTTGCTGTGGAATTACTGGTGCTCAGAGTTGGAGTCTCTTGGCACCCTGATGGTTTGCCTGCTCTCTCTTCTACTCTTGGGGCTCTGTGAAGAGGCCCCAAGTCTGCCAGTCTGTCCATGGCCACAGAGGTGGCAAGAGACATTAAAAATGGTGGCCATGTTTCTTTAGTATAAGACACTTCAGAGTGGGGGCAGGACTACAGGGATACAAGGATTACAGGAATACAGGCAGGGATACAGCCCAGCTATGGACATATGCACAGGTAAATGTCAAAGCAGTATGCTGCAGTGGGAAAAGTACTCTATTTGTAATTAAAAGGACTTGGGTTCAAATCCTACCCTACTACTTAATATAGTGAGCTGGGGAGGAAGCTACAAGGAATCTACTGTCCAGAAGCAAATGGCAAAGTGCTAATTAACATTTTCTCCTGGGGGCTGGGGGGATACAGGGGCAAAGCCCAGTAAGCTGTCAAAAACCTATATGATCTCCCAGCAAGTCATTCTATCTCTCTGGGACTCATTTTCCTTATCTGTAAAATGAAGGGCTGGACCCCTAAGATCCCTCCCCTTTCAGCTCAAAATGGACGATTCTATGCTTCTATTCCTGTGGTTTGGTACAAAGTTAGTTGTTAGGGTGAATGTCTCACAGTCTCATGACAGCTCTGTTGAGGGAACTTTCCCATGGTAGTTCTAGCTTCTATCAGTAGAAGCTGAGGGTCACAACATAGTTGCATGGCAAAAATAAGGAAGTCTCCCAGGACCTCTCCTTTGCTGACCTGAGCTCCCACGGTTGGTTTGGCTCTCCTCTCACTGGGAGATGAGTCCTGACACGAGCTCCAGCAGACCTGATGATTGGCTATCACAGGGGGATCACGCTTTGAACATGCATCACTAGGGCCATAAAAGACAGCTAACTGCATTCAATAAACGGAGCTTCTGCCACCTTGCTGTCTCCCGACTCATCCATGCGTCTCGGGGTTACAGAGCATTGAGCTGGTCTCATGCTCATCACTGCAGCGGCTGCGTCAGTTAGTCACTGCCATCATTTGGACTCAGAGGATTTCTTGAGTCCTTGACAGCTCTAATGGTCTATTCTTAATTTCTGCTCAAGCAGCGAGCCAGGAAATAGGCAGCTTTGGGGGATGCACCAATGAATCCATCCAGCCAGGTCGGAGCTTAGCTTAGGGAGGGGGTAACCACACATATCTTGCCATTCCCACCTCCTCATTTTATTGGACACCCCCAAATCAAAGGAGGTTATTTATTTATTTAATGTTCACTCATTCATTCATTCATTTATTTATTATTTAGGGTCAAGGATACTCACGTAGCTAGGAGACATTTGGAGTGCTTAGCCAGCCCCAGGCAGGCGATGAGGCAGATAACCAGGTCCAAGATGAAAAGCAAGAGATAAGAAAGCCACCTGGAAATGGACGAAGTGGGTAGTGATCAGAGAACTGAGAAATAGGAGATTCACAGGCAGCGCCTGTATTTCTAAGGACATCTGGACATTTCTGACATATCCCTTTCATTATCAATGAAATGCCCATCACCTACAGTTAAATCATTGAATAAACACAGTCCCTTCCTCAAAATGTGAAATAACCAAATAGCCAATGGGGTCTGCTGAGGACGGGAAAGCCCGGAGCATGATCTCTGATTGGGCCTGGAGGAAAGAAGCTGCCTTGAAAGAGGTGTCAAGGTGGAGTGGAAGGAACTCTGGACTGAGGTCAGGAGATCTGAGATGTGGGTTGTAGCAACTAACTAGCTGTACAACTCTGAGTAAGTTAGTTCCCACTTTGGCCTCAGTTTCCTCTTTCCAGCCTTCCTAAAGCAAAGCAGTTGGATTAGTTCATGGATTGGTGCGCAAACTATAGCTGAGGACCCAATCTGGCTTTGTACACTCTGTGAGCTAAGAATGGTTTTTCACATTTTTTAATATAATAAAATTTTACTTAAAAATGTAAAAATCAAGAGCAGCTAGGTGGCACAGTGAATAGAGCACCAGCCCTGGGGTCAGGAGGACCTGAGTTTAAATCCGGTCTCAGACCAGATGCTTGACACTTACTAGCTGTGTGACCCTGGGTAAGTCACTTAACCCCAACTGCCTCAAGAAAAAAAAAAAGTAAAAACTATTGTCGGGCAACTAGGTGGTGAAGTGGATAAAGTAACAGGACTGAAATCAGGAAGATTCATCTTCCTGAGTTCAAATTTGGCCTTAGACACTTACTAGCTGAGTGACCCTGGGCAAGTCATTTAACCCTGTTTGCATCAGTTCCTCATCTGTAAAACGAACTGGAAAAGGAAATGGCAAACCACTCCAGTATCTTTGCAAAGTAAACCCCAAATGGGGTCACAAAGATTCAGACATGACTGAAATGACTGAACAACAAAAAAGTCCATCCTTAGTTCACAGATTGGCCATGTGGGGGCCAACACGCAGCATAATTTGTTGCTTCAAACCCCCTTCCATAAGATAAGGGTCACAACCATTCTGTGATTCAGGGATAATTTTGCTGTTTGGACAAGAACCGGTATTTAACTATGAGCTCATGATAAATTGTTGGAAATAGCCAGCAAGTGTCTCTCTGCACTTGTAGGCCACTTTGGCTATCCAAAGCCCAAAGCAGGCCTCAGCGTGACACAGTTCTGCTTCAAATCTTGGATCCAAGGAAGTAGCTGGGGCTCACTGCTGACTTAAGCAAACTCCAACATGAAAAGCTGGAATAGTAAAAGAACCACAGAACCTGGGAATTAGAAGGGAATGCAGTGACCTTTTGGTCCAACTCAGCCCTGAAGGGACCATTCAGCGTAACCGAGCTGAGAAGTGGTTGTCAGCCTTTGCTTGAAGACCCGCCGAGGAGGGTGAACTCACCCCTTCCAGGGCAGTCACCCATATTGTGTCTGCACTGTTCTAATTATTAGAAAGTTTTGTTTTGGTTTCCTGGTATCAAGCCCAAATCGGCCTCTTCGACACTCCTATCTACTAATCCTGGTTCTGCCCTCTGGGACTAAATAGACCAAAATCAGGGCAGCTAGGTGGCGCAGTGGGTAGAACACTGGCCCTGGAGTCAGGAGGACCCCGAGTTCAAATCTGGCCTCAGATACATAACACTTGATAGATGTGTGATCCTGGGCAAGTCACTTAACTCCAATTGCCTCATATAAAAAAAAAAGTAAATAGACCAAAGTTAATCCCCCCTTCCCCATGGTAGCTTTAAAATACTTGAAGACAACTTACATGTTCCCCTTGAGTCTTTTCTAGGCTAAAACGTCCTCAGTTCATTCAACTAATCCTCATTTGTCATAGATTTTAGGGCCTTTCCCTACTGGTTGCCCTATTCTCAGCATGACAACCTTTTATTGTTGTTGTTCAGTTGTGTCTGACTCTCCATGACCCCATTTGAGATTTTCTTGGCAAAGACACTAGAGTAGTTTGCCATTTCCTTCTCCAGCTCATTTTACAGATGAGGAAACTGAGGCAAGGGTTAAGTGACTTACCCAGGGTCTCACAGTTAAGTGTCTGAGGCCAGATTTGACCTCAAGATGAGTCTTCCTGACTCCAGGTCCAGCACTCTACTCACTGTGCCATCGAGCTACCCCCACAACAACCTACAGCTTATTTATATTCCTCTTAAACAGTAATTCCCAGAACTGAACATGATATTTCAGATTAAGTCTGATGAGGGCGGACTTCAACAGGACTACCGCTTCCCAATTTCCAGGAGCTATGCTTCCTATCACCTGTTGGGACTGCAATATCACAATACTGAATTTTTGTAGACCCCCCCCCCCAACCCCTCAGGTCTTTTTCAGAACTGTACTCCAATGCTGCTTCCCTCATCTTGTACTTGAGATGTTGATATCGTCTACCTACCTGTAAAACTTTACATTTATCCCCGAGGTGTTCTCTATTATTAGATGCTCTCACCTGCCAAAATTCTTTTGGAACTTATCACATGCTTAAAAAAAACCAAAAACCAAGCTGTACATAGCAGATCTGCAGTTTCACAGACAATCTTCTTTTTCTGTTCTACACATGTATGGAAATGCCCATTTTATTTATGGTTAATTAAAAATAAATTAAAAAAACCCCCTTCATCCAAATACTCTCCATCATGTTTCTCTCCTCTGCTTCCAAGATTTCTTCATATGAAAGGAGATTCCAACTCCCTTCTTTTATGGATAAGGAAATTAAGGGCCAGAACTGGGGAAGTGACTTGCCATTGAGCGGCTACTCAGTGGCAGAGCTGGTACTAACCAGGTGTCTTGATACATATGTTACCTCTTCTGTACATACCCTGAAATTTTGACAGGGAGGGCCAGGTTGTTCAGGACAATAGGTCACTCAAGGGTAGAGTTAACACATGAATGGGATCTGCAGGACAAGGGCTTTGCTCATATTTTATTAAGACAGGTCCAACTACAAATAACCCTTTTCCTTGATAAAGAAAGAAGAGCAAGGCAGATGACCTGACTCGGTCATTTGGCATCATGGATGAATTAAGCTGATCTCTGTCACTGCTGTTCCTAAACTGTGGGCCCCGGTGCCCTTATGCCACAGCAAACTCACAGGGGCTCTGTAGGAGACTGGAAATTTTGATCTCATTACTTAGTACGCAAGACTTAGGTTATTTCTTTTGGCCTAGAGGTGCCTTGAAAAAATGATTGAGACACTAAGGTTGCTATAAACTGAGAACGTCTGGGAACCCCTGAACCATGGGCTTAGATGCTCTCAGCTGCCAAAATTCTTTTGGAACTTATTACATACTTAAAAAAAAAAAAATCAAGCTGTACATAGCAGTTTGTGCCTCCTCTGAGCAGAATATCAAAATCTAGGGACAATATATTATAATATACTATAATGGATAAGTGCTCAAAACATAAAATAATTAGAGAGCAGGAGGTATCTTCCAGGTCTATGGTTACAGGGAGAATTCAATCAATCAGTCAGTCAATAAATATTTATTAAGCACCTACTATGTGCCAGGCACTGTTCTAAGAATTTGAAACCAAATAAACAGAGGAGGTCACAAAAGATGAAGTAGGTCAATTAGATTTTACTAAAATGTATCTTTGATATGTGGCGCAGTGGATAAAGCACCAGCCCTGGATTCAGGAGGACCTGAGTTCAAATCCGGCCTCAGACACATAACACTTACTAGCTGTGTGACCCTGGGCAAGTCACCTAAACCCCATTGCCTGGCCAAAAACCAAACCAAACCAAAAAAAAAAACCAAAAATAAAAACCAATGTCATAAAATGTATCTTTGATTTTATCAATCTGGATGTTTGCTCTAGTGATACAAATCACAAGCCATCCTATCCACCCTATCCAATGTACTGGAGGCCTTCCTTGATTTTCCCCCACACAGTGAGAATAACAATGGAGTTTTCAAAAGAATAAAGGGAAATTACCAACAGCCATAAGAAATAAAAATGTTTCAAATGCAAAATGCAAATTTAATAACACTGAACTTTTACCTCACAACCATCAAATTGGCAAAGATGACGAAAGTCAGCAATATAACTCAAGCACACTAATATACCCTTCGGGAGTTGTGAATGGTTCAAATGTTCTGAAACATGATTTGGAATTCTGTGCTCAATGTCACTGAACCATTCTTATCCTTTGACCCAGTGATCCCAACGTAGAGCTTAAGGAGGTCAAAGACAGAAATGTCCCATATATTCCAAAATATTTATAGCAGCACTTTTCATGTAGCAAAAAATTGGGAACAAAGTGGGAGCCCATTGGTTGATGAACTTGAGTAACATACTTAAGATAGTGAATAAATAAGATGTGATTTAAAGAGGAGATTATTCAAGGTATTTGCTTGCCTTAGAGAGGGGAGGGGAAGTGGCCATGAAAGGATGCATAAAGGCTGACTTAGTCTTTTCATTTGTCTTGGCCTGGGCTCTAGAAAAGTGAACATGGCAGACAGTAGGAAGGGCACTGGATTCACAGTCGGAGAACCTGGGTTCAAATTTTGCCTCTGCTATTTCTTACCTGTTTAACTTTGGGTACATTACTTTGCCTCCAGGGCTCGATTTCCTTATCATGGAGGTTGGAGTGTGTGTTATACTAGATGACCTTTAAAGTCCCTTCAGACTCTAAAACTGATGATTCTATGACCTACAAAGGGCAGAGCTAAGGGAAGGCACACTCCACTAAAGAAGGCCATCAGCTGAGAAGACAATGATAATAATGCAGATTTAACTTCAAAGTGTGTCAAAAGTACTCTTTTTTTTTTTTCCCCTGGAGAGCCATTTGTTAGCACACTGCTGCCTCTGGCTCTGTCTTCCTCTTTTCAATGTTAGGCCATTCCTATGGCAGCCTCCATGACGGAATACCAGGAGGCTGGACCCAGGGCATAGGCTTGGCAGGTCTTTGGGAAATTAACTCTACCTCACCCCTTGGGA